CCAGTGTTCCTTCTCCTTCACCTGTCGGGCCGAGGGGGCTTTTTGGATAAAAGGGTGTAGTGTTCAGGGTTTAGCCAGGGTTTGGATTGGGGATTGTAGCTGGGAATGAACGTCTCAGGAATGCTGTTGGCGAACTGTATAAGACTCAGAAAGCACCTACTATCAGGTAGAAGCGTACCCTAAGAGGGTTCCAGAGCCTGCAGCTTTCGGGGCTAGCATCTAGGATTGTGCAAGTGTCCAAGGCCTCGGGTTAGGGGCTAGGGCTGGGGAGGTTCAAAGTCATTGAGCATAGGGTGGGGTGGAGCCACCTTAAATCAAAGCCTGATTGAGCCACCTGGTGCTGTGTGCACAGGGAGACCTGTGCTTTGAACCCCAAGTAGCGAAGCAATTTCGCTTAATCTATCAACAAGAGACCATATCTAGATTCTCCTATGGCCTGACTGACAATATATACTTTTGATGACAACAAACATACAAGTAGCTATCATACCGCCTAGTCAGCAGGACAAACCATGCCTGTCAATGTCGCGAGTAACGATTAAACCCTACACCCGAAACCCTTAAACCCTAAACCCTAAACCCTTTAAAACCTAAACCTCGAATGAGCAACCTTGCTCTGGGTCCACCAAGGCAGTCGGGTCATCGTTGAGGTCGAAGCCGTCGGCTCCTTCCTCCTGCCACTTGGCACTCTTGGTCATGCTGAGGGTCGCCTTCCTCCTCAGAAGAACAAAAGGTCCAAGGGATGTGGCTTCGAATTTCGGCGCTCGGGAACAGGTCTCAACATTCCTGCAAACAAACACATAGGACCCCCACCGGAGGCTGCCCTTGATCGATCGCTCGACATAATACAAGGTGATGCTCTCGTATGTGTCTCGCCTTGTCAGGGACGGAGAAACGTTAGTTCAGGGCCTTTCAGGGTTTAGGGCTTAGGGGCTTTAGCTTCAGGGTTTAGGGTTGGGTTGGCTCTTGACACATGGACTCTAATGGCTAGGCAGCACCAGCAAGCCTCATCAGCTGTCTCGGGTTGCTCCGGCAGTGGGCCTTGATAGCCTCGATCCTTTGCCTCAGAAGACAACAGTACAAGCAGCCCAAACTAAACCCTCCTATGAGAACCCTTCATGCCTCCTAGAAACTCAGTAAAGCCCCATTCTTGCATTGTCTCAACAGATGCGAACTCCCCCTCAATCACCACTTCGGACTCTATCATCTGCTGTCGCATGACATCCACCTCGGAGATAAAGGTAGCCTCGGGTTCGGACTGCTGTTGGTGCTTCGGGAACCAAGATCGTTCTGGGAATGGATGGGCAGGTACTTTGTTATTGCACAAAAGAGGCCGGGTCGTAGCCGACCTGCCTGAAGATGGTTTCCAGGAGGGTTCTTCGAGCTCCCTTCTCATGCCACTCTTTGAAAACCACCTCACTGACCTTGAGGGATCCATTCGCTCGTCTCTTGAACATTCTTTGCGATCTCATCTCGATCGCCTTGTGGCTAAGCTGAGGCTCTCCTACGACCGGCTTAAGAGCAGTGGGATCGTTCATGTCGGGGATGTCCAACTCATCATCGGGCACAGCTTGCTTGGACTTCACAGGGGTTTTCTTCTTGCGGCCGGACATGGGGGTCGCAAGGGCTTTGTCCTGAAGTTTCGAGGAACTCAGCTGCTGCACTGGCGAGGGCTGCTTTGCCTCCCTGTCTCCTGGCAACCTCTTGGGAGCCCTGGCAGGAGTGCTGACAGGTCTCGGGGTCACAGGCTGTTCCGACAGAGGGGTGGCTTTGGGAGGGCTCAGCATTACCTGAGTGTCAGGGAAGGAGGAGGGCTCTGTCGGCACGGGGATATCCATCCCGTCTTGGGAGTTGTCTGCACCAGACCAAGTAATATCCACGTCCCCCCCTTCGTCATCAGAATCGCTGGCCCCTTCAGCCATCGGGCCTGCAAGCTCCAAAGCCTCGGCAGACACATTAGGAACTGAACCTGCGTGTTTTGGGTCCTGTCGAGGCTCCTACGGATAAACAATCAAGATGAAAGACCCTGTCGGGGCCAGTGGCTTGAAGATGTCTTTGGAGGTCCTCGTCTGTCATGTGAGCATAAGCAGCCATGCTGCTCGGATCGAAAGCAGCCAAGGAAGCCTTCCTACGAC